AGTCAATTTAAACAGGGATTGTAGGAAACACCATCCCAAAGGCTGCACCATCAGTAGAAGCTGTCGTGATGGCATAATGCTTGGTGAAAGTATGAACTGAGAAACAAGGAGCAGCTCTGCACATGTCCAACACAGGGACATTCTTCAAAAAGGGCTATTGAGAGGGCTTGTGATCTTATGGAGTGCGCTGAAATCTTTGAAGGTGGTATGGATTTAGCAGCATCCTAACACATGAATATGCAGGTCATAATCCAGCTGGGAAGGTTGGGGCTAAAACCACCTGCCCCTTCATCCTTTCTGCCAGGGCCGGCTCCAGGCACCAGCCTGGCAAGCAGGTGCTTGGGGCGGCCACTCCGGAGAGGGGCAGCAAGTCCAGCTATTCGGCAGCAATTCGGCAGACGGTCCCTCACTCCCGCTCGGAGCGAAGGACCTCCCGCCGAATTGCCGCCACAGATCGCGATCGCGGCTTTTTTTTTTTCTGGCTGCTGGGGGCGGCCCAAACCCTGGAGCCAGCCCTGCTTTCTGCTTAAGCAAAAGATGTGGAGTCTTATCCAAATAAAAGGCAAGTCAATAGTCTGGAGCTTCTGCATCTTTGTGATGGTGAAGCTTGGGAAATGACACGGGCAAATAAATCGCCTGATGGAGGTAGAAAGGAGATGCCCCCAGTTTCTGACAAAAGTGGTAAAGTCCTAGAGAAAAACAGCATGATTTAAAAAGATGATCTAGGGAGAGTGACAAGGGCCTGCAGCTCCCAAAACCTCCTAGCTGATAATATGATCACTAAGGCGGTCACCTTAGCTTAAAGTTTTATAAATAAGCAGCAGGCTAAAGACTCAAAGGGCAGATACATCAATACTAATACCAGATTCAAATCCAAACCACTGGAATAAGAATCCTAAACATCCAAAATTCTAGTAGTACACAGAGATATTTCCTTGTCAAAACCAGACTGGAAAAAGACTCCATTTCATACGGTAAGTGGATCTGGTGGATGGTTTCCTATTGTTCAATACAAAGTTCTGGTTGAGAGAGTTCAGATGCAAGAGGCTGTAGAAGTAAATACAGCACATTGGATGGTCCCTGGGAGCAGAAATGCATCCGTGAGAGATCCCAGACCGTAACTCACTCTGGAACAGAACGGATGGCACTTCCTGTTCTGCAGCGCATGGGGAACTTCCATGGTGGACCTAAGACGGGAATATTGATCTCTCTTAGTTTTCAGAGACCATTTGTGATCCATCCTGATTGATCTGGTAAGGAGTTCTGCCAGGGAATTCTGTATCCCAAGAAGCTGGGAGGTGTTGAATGCTACTGTATTCTGGACACAAATTCCAAAGACTGACTTCTTTCTAGAATTGCTGGGTGACCCCGGCGTACCCTTGTTCGTTTAGGTAAAAGCCTGCCGTGGTGTTCTCCAATAGGACTTAAACCATCTTGCCTTTGATATAGGGTAGGAACACTGACAAGCTCTGAAGATTGCCTCAAGTTCCAGGACATTGATATGTAGGGAGAACTCTTAAATCCACCAAAGTCTTAGAGCGGGGTGTGTGTGTGTGTGTGTGTGTGTGTGTGTGTGTGTGTGTGTGTGTG